TTTGAAGAAGGTTGTTGATATTTTCGGAATTATTTTAGGACTCAAGGTTAACATGAAAAAAAGTATTGTGGTGGGAATTAACACGAGCTAGAATAAGATTGACAAGTTGGCTGCTGATGTGGGGTGTTCTGTGGGTGGGTGGGTTGCCTTTGAAGTATTTGGAGTTACCTTAGGTGGTAGTCCGATGTCAACGTCTTTTTGGGATCCAAGTCATTGAGAAGATTGGGAAGAGGTTGGATGGATGGAAGAAAATCTTTATATCCTAGGGGTGGTAGGTTAACACTTGTTCAGTCTATTTTGGCTAGCATTCTTGCCTACTACATTTCTCTTTTAAACTTCCTGTGTTTGGTTGCTAGGAAAATTGAGGATAATGAGAAATTTTCTTTAGGAAGGAAGAGGGTAGGAAGGATCATTTGATTTCTTGGAAGGTGATGTCTAGATATAAGGCTAAAGGTGGTCTTGCGGTTGGGAATTTGTTAAAAAAAAATGAAGCTTTTGTTGGAAAATGGCTTTCGAGGTTCCCTTTGGAACAAGTTTCACTATAGTGTTCAGTTATAAGTAAATATGGGTTACAAGCTAATGGTTGGGATGCAAATGGAATTGCTACGGGTACCTTTGAAGTCCATGGAAGTTCATTTCTTAAGGGTTACCTCTATTTTCCTAGAGGCTTAAGCTCTCAGTGGGTGATAAATCTCAGATACGATTCTGGGAGGATCTATGGGTCAGGGAGTCTTCCTTTTCCATTCTTTGTCCTTGTTTTTGCTATCTCTCTAGGACACAAAGTCAAAGGATGGCTTCTTTCATTTGTTCTTATTCAAATCCTATTTCATAAGATTTTGTTTTTCGTAGAAGTCTAAATTAGAGGGAGTGTAAGAAGATCTTCTTTCTTTGCTTAATAGTGCTTCGGTCACTTATGATGGGGTGGACAGGAGACGTTGGCCTATTGACTCTTCTAATGTTTTTTCATGTAAATCTTACTTCGAGTCTTTAATTGATGATCTTTTTATTCTCTTGTTTCATCCATCGAGGGTGGTTTGGGAAGTTAAAGTGCCTTTAAAGGGTGCGAATTTGTGCATGGATAATTGTTCACAGTGCGAATTTATGCATGGATAATTCCTCAAAAACTTTCACCAAATCCTCCTTAAACATTTCCCTCCCAACTTTTTTGGAAAATAGGTATAGTGAAGCCATCCTGACCTAGAGACTCAAGAACATTTAATCAAAGACTGTAGATTTAATTTCATCTTCCTCAAAAGGTCTCTCAGCCATCTAAACTTGCTCTCACTTATAGCACACCAATCTAATTCAACAATACAAGGTTATTCAATTCCCTCTAAAGAATACAACTTGAAAAAGTAGTTAACTATCTTTGAACTAATGAAGTTCTCACTCTCAAGCATTTCTCTTGACTAAGCTTCTATCCCATCGATCAATTCCAAAATTCTTCTATAAAGGACTTTGGTCAAATTCTATGAAACAATTTTGAATTACGATCATCCCCCTTGATACACTTAACTTTAGCCAATTGTCTACAACTTGTTTCTTTCTTTACTAATACACATTCATATTTATTTCTAAGATCACACCTTTGCCTTCTCAAATTTTTTGATATACCCCCGTAATCTCAAGATGATCAATATCCTCAATTCTTTTCAAAATTATTTCTTTTTCCAATCTAATATTACTAAACTACTCCTATTCCACTCCATTGAATGTTGCTTTACCAACTTCACTCTATGCATGAACTTTAAACCTCTCATCCGTCCATTCTAGCCCCATTCTACCAATACTTGAACTTATAGTGAAAGAATGATGATCAACCCACATATTCTCCAACCTAAATGGCATTGGTACCCATTTAACAGTGTACTATATCAAGCAAAACTAGACAGTGATCATAGGTAGTCCTAGTAAGAACCAATGTTACCTGGATCGTGGGTTGCTTTGGTACTTGTTACAGGTATGGGTACAAGGTACGACACTTTCTTAGATACGTGGTACGATGGAATAAGTTTAACTAATATGGTATTTTGGGTTGCAATTCGTTTTGGAACTCTTATGTAGATCGTTTTCACTACTATACAACATTATATATTACAAAACATTCATAAACACTAAGTTAGTTACCATTTATGTTATAATTGTACTTGATTTTTTATTATCTAAAACAATATGTAATTATAAATCTATATGCATGTAGTTAATTAATATGTATTTTATATTTGTGCTACATATTCTAAAGTAAATTGATTTAGGATTGGTATTTCAATTTGGTGTCGTCAATTTTGGTGATCTGGATCGCGAACCCACCATGTTTCAAATCGTGGATCATTAAGAATTTAGTGAATTGTGGTAACCATGGTAAGAACTTGGGAAAAAAGTTCTCCCCACCTCCAAGAGAAAAGAAATTAGTCTAATCTAATACACCTCAAATTATATTGAAAATTAGACCAAGTAAAGTTTGCATTCAACCAAGGTGGGTGAATTAAACTGCAATCTCTAATGAATCTGTCAAACTTTCTCATACTAGTGGTACTTCTTATTCCATTCAACTTTTATGTAACTGAATGCACCGCATTAAACTCTCCCCCAAGGATCCACCTAGTGCTACAAAAGCCATATAGATTGTTAAGTTGAGAGAATTAACACAATATCATAAGAAACGGAAAGTGTTCAAACTTAACCTAGTTCTCATATATCACTTATATTTATAGTTAACTCACAATAATAAGAAAGACAAATACACTCTTATATTTATACATAGTACCCTAATAATCTTAACAGTTTACACATAATACCCTAATACTCTTAACACTCCTCCTCAAACTGAACTATATATATCATATAATTCAAACTTTGAACAAATTGCCGTAAAACGTGTATGACTCAATATTTTAGTAAACATATCTACAAGTTGATTTTCTCATTTCACAAATGGAGTCGTAATCTCCCTAACATGTTGTTTCGAATAAAGTGACAATCAACCTCAATATGTTTAGTTCTTTCGTGAAACACTGGATTTGCAGCGATATGGATAGCTGTCTGGTTCACTGGACCACTAAACCGGAGAAAAAACAGATAAAACGAGTTTGAACCGGTGTAACCCTTACTGAACCGGGACTGAACCGCTCTGAACCGATGTAAACCCTTCTAAACCGGGACTGAACCAGAGTTGAACCAAATTTGGGCCGGTCTGGTCTGCAAGCTACTTAATCTGGGCTTGGATCTGGATTTGGATCTGTCACCTAAACCTGAAACCGACCCAACTTGAGTGGGTCTTCTTCTTCACCAACAAACCCTAAAAATTACCTTCTCTGTCGACGACGCCAATGTCCAGCAACTACCACCACCACCAGACTAAGTCACCAATATCAATGACCCAACAACCACAAACGTCAGCCACACCACCATGCAGCAATCGACAGCAACACCACCACACTAGTCGACAATGCCTCACACCCAACACTAACTAGTGACTACCACCACCACCAGACACCACACAACTGCAATTGAAGAGGAAACCACCAACGTCGACAGCCCCGTCACACCCAACCACCGACTACCACCACCACAGACAAAAATTTTGACAGTAGGCACAATGGCGACGACCTGAGTTAATATTTGGATTTAAAATTATTTTGCTCTGATATCATGTTAAGTTAAGAAAATTAACACAATATTAGAAGAAACGGAAAGTGGCCAAACTTAACCTACCTCTCATATATCACTTGTATTTATAGTTAACTTACAATAATAAGAAAGATGAATACACCCTCTTATATTTACACGTAATACCCTAATACTCTTAATAGTTTACACATAATACCCTAATACTCTTGACATAGATTATAAAGGTCATTCCACAAAGACTCTCATCCTAGGATTATTAGGACCATACAACCAAGTCAATCATCATTCTCTATTCCCACGATTCTCAAAAGTCACAAAAATAAACTTCTCAATACCACCTCAATCATTTCCATAACTCTATCATCCCGCATTATTAATATGCCACCCAGTCTACCACGAGTAGGCAAAAAAGCTCAATCCCTATGTCTAACCGCTCCCTCCCCCAAAAGAGGGAGGGAAGGCTTACGAAGCCATCTCCCATGATATTAGTTTGGTATTTATAGATAGATATCCAAGAGTTATGGGACATGGAGATTGTATATAGCTATTTTGTTGTTTTTGTTTCGTAGTAAAATGTTGATTTTCAAGATTGTTGATAGAAATCCATCCAAAAATGTGATATAAATCATAACTGTAAAGCAATGTTATTTATAGCTGCTAGTAAAATTGCAAATGTTTTCCGGTGGTTAATAATGTCAGTAAGAGACGCATCTAAGTGACCACAACATTAAACTTTTTGCAATGCTGTTTAATTGTTCCGTAATCTCGCTCATTACCTCTTACTGCCATCACATTTTAAGCAGATCATAGTTAATTACTACCAGTGAAAACATGGAAGTACTACAAAGTCATGATTCTTTGAAGTGAACTAGAAAATCAGAATGCTATAGGCTTATAGCTCATTCCAAGTTTTCTAACTACGGAATCTGTATAAAACAATAATATCATCTGTTCATTCCACTCTCAGAATCCACAAAATCACAAACCAATTCTGAAAATTTTCGTACTTCAACGGAGAGTGTTTACATAGACAATTTTCAAAACCACAGCATGACACAATTTCAGTTAACTGCCCACAAAATCAGAGAGAAATTAAAAGTGGGCACAACTTGCCAGCATATTTACTATCTGCTCACACTCCACAAAAATCATGAGTGAGCAGGATCCATCATAAGTGGCCGTCACTGTAATTTTCCCAAAAGTTTATTGCATGAACAACTAGAACACATTAGAACATATACATAAGCCACAAAAACAACGCTCATACTAAGAAGTAGCATCGAGGGAACATTAAAAACAGCTTCATCACTACATCACTATTTTTAAAACTATTCAACATTAGTCGCATATAAATATGAAGTGTTGCTAACTCACGCTTGAGGGTTTGACAGACAAGAGCGAAGGTGGCTCTTTTGTTCCTGACGGAGGGACCATAGACGATGGATTTGATGGAGCCGACGGCTCGGCAGCGAGCGTCTCCTTGGAGTACACTCCTCAGCACCTTCGCCGCCTCTCTCCGCGCGAAATACGATGACCGCTCGGCGTTCTTCAGCCGCTTGTCCGTCGACGTGTTGGCCGATGACCCTGTGGTTACGAGCTGCTTCAAACGCGCCATGGCTCACTCCAGCAGGGCAGCAAGAAAAAAGGTCTACACATGGAGGGGAAGGGAAGGGGGTGGGGTTTATGGTGGTTGCAAAGTACAAAAACGCACAAAACGACGTCGTTTTTCTATTCTCAAAACGGCGTCATATGGACAACTACAGCACCAGCTGATCTATAATTTCTATGTCCGAGAGTGGAATGAACAGATGATATTATAATTGCCACCCTTTTTAATTTATATTTAAATATCAGAGCACCCCTTTCATTAAGCCACCATTAATAACAAAAAAAATTCATCTAAAATACTAAAATTGTTCCTACATATATCTCAAATAATTTTTTTTACATAAAATTTGATTAAAATTTGAGTCGATTAAAATTTTTTTTTTACATATTACAATTCAAGTTGATTAAAATTTATTTTTTTACATATTAAAATTTGAACCGATTAAAATTTGATTCAAGCTGATTAAATTTAATTTTTTAACTTATAAAAATTCGAGCCTATTAAAATTTCTTTTTTAAGCATTAAAATTTGAGCTCAACTAGAGATATTAGAGTCAATTAAAATTTGATTCAAGTCAATTGAAATTTATTTTTTTACTTATTAAAATTCGTGCTAATTAAAATTTGATTCTAGTTGATTAGAATTTATTTTTTACGTATTAAAATTTCAGTCGATTAAAATTTATATTTTTTTATGTATCAAAATTCAAATTGATTAAAATTTAATTCAAGTTAATTAAAGTTTAATTCCAGCCAATTAAAAATGAATTTTAATCAGCTCAAATCTAATTTTAATTAGTTTGAATCGAATTTTAATCGGCCTGAATTTTAATACGTAAAAAAAATCATAAAACTAAGGGAGTCTCATTGAAGATATGTCTATTTAGAAGAAAAATATTTCATGAGCAATTTAGTAAAATTATATTCTAGTTAAGGCTTTTAATCTAGCAAGGGTGTCAATGATGATTCAAAAAGTAGAAGGGATGTCCTTGAAGATATGATAAACTAAAATGAGTGTGACTGAAATTTTTCCTAAAAAAATTATTTTACACTCTTAAAAATTAAATTTCTTACATTGTACTTTTAATATATTAAAAATATTTACAATGTGACTATTTTGTTAACTTACATTACTAATTCCATCAACATCAATAGGGTGGCCTTTAATGGAATAAACAATGGAAGTTAATAGAAGAACTACATTACAAAATTTTTTAAGTATTGAATGTGCAACATAAAAATTTTCATCTTTGAGATTTAGAAAAGAAAAACAAAAATCTTTTAAAGGTGCAAAGTGAGATTCTCCCTAAAATTATTAATTCTGTGTTTGGTAAGTGGTAATGTTTTTAGGCAAAAATAGAATGAAAAATGGAAATGGAACGGAATGAAATATGCATTATCATTCTAATATTTGATAATCATTTGGGATTAAGTCTAGAATGGAATGCACATTTTCATTCCTACGTCTGGATAGAATAATTTTTAGTAGAATAGAATGAAATTTGACCAAAATAAATATCTTTCTATTATAAAGAATTTCTAACTTAAAGTGGGTAACATTCTTCTTTAAAAAATTACACAATCAATATACTCATAAGTAGAGGTCACAAATGAGTTTGTTGGGTTGGTTTATGGGCTGGTTTAAATTAGATTGGGTTCAAAATAAATCCAATATATTTTCAACTCCCGTATTAAATAGGTTATAAAAGGTTGGGTTATAACAAATTAAGTTAAACTCATTAACCCATAAAATAATTAAAACTCTCAATAGACACACACTATTATACCAAAATATACACATTAGTACATCAAAACATATATATACGTACACACTATTACACTAAAATATACACACAAACTAGTACACCAAAACATACACATATACTATTACACCAAAGCACGCACACTATTACCCCTAAATACCACATGCTCAACCAAACATTAGGATAAGTCTCAAAAGAACACTGCGGAATATAAAAGCAAACATGTTTTGTGACGTCCCAAAATCTAGAAATCTGGGAATCCTTTCTCAACACGTTGATCATCCATCGACTTGCAAAAATACTCGTGAGTAGCGTACAACCCGATACCACGTTGTTACACCCCATTCACTAGGATCATAACCAAGGCAGAATTTGGGCAGAGCCTCATTTGCACATAAGCACTACTCAACACATAACATGTTCACATATTATTCATAGGACCATTCCAAGGTCCAAACCCAAAGTTTAGTACTTATTATTATCTATTTACATCATTCAAAGAAGTGTGTTCAAGATGTGAAGGTTCGGTGGTGTTACATTTCAATTTTCCAAGTTTTTGGACATGGTATTAGAACCTCGGATAAGTGGTACCGGTGCTTGACCCTTCTATTTATTAGGTACCGGTACCTATAATCATTGGTATCAATACTTGGGGCCACTATCTGTGGGGTACCGATATCTGTGAGCATTGGTACCGGTACCTGAGCCCACTGTCCATCAGGGTACCGGTACCTATAAGCCTAGGTACTAGTACCTGAAGCCCAAATTTTCTCAAATTCCTCAACACCTCAACTTTTAGCCACATTACTCATACAAAACCCATTCAATTCATTTGTTTTACAAAAGAATAATGTCTCATTACATGCCTTAGTCAAAATACAAGTTTTGTACATGATTAATACAAGGCCAAAACTAAATATACATGAAATTACAACATGTAATCTAAGAGCTATAACCCGACTCTTTCTTCAACACGGGCCCAAGTGAGGGCCATTCACCAAGGCTTGTCTAACACCTAAAATATATATCTATATAAAGGGTGGGTCACGCTCAATATATATATCCCTAACCTAGATACATATAAAATGTCACATGCAATTCATCACATTAAACATTCATTCAAATACATATATGTCATAAATGAATGCAATAATTTCATGTCAGGTCATGTGTATGTATCCAGACATTCCAAGCCCCCATTATTGATGTTAGATAGTCAATGACTATTTTATAAAATCTTATGTTTATAGATTTTCACCAACGATTTTACATATATCGACACACTTTATGGACTAAATACTAACGAAAGTACGCATCTGAAATTATCGAATCTTGCACTTGGGGAGAATCTAGCCCTTCTTACTAACCCCGACATATATTTTTAATGAAATCCGTGCGATTCAGTCGAACCTAAGTCAAACTTTTTCAAGCCCACGTATCAACCCACCAAGGATGGTGTTTAATTAAAAACATGCAGAGACACTCATACTCATGTTGAAGAATTCAATGTTACTCGTGTATATGCAAATGTAATGTGCAATTACATTTCATGCTAACGAACCCAACCCACCAAGTGCAAGAGGGAATCAAGAAGCCAACGCCCAAGAGGGGACCAAGGGGTGCCGCCCAAGGGCTGATCCCCTGTTCCTCCTTCGCCCTCTCCTCTTTTCCACTCTAACCCAAGTCCAACCCACTCAAGTTCAACCCAGCTCAAGATCTTCCTCCGACAGAATAGGAGCACGAGGGAGAGAATATCGAGATACACTCGGAGATCTAATCTTACCTTATTTGTACTTACCAAAATAGTATAAGTCATCTCCTTCACGTCACCGCCTTGCCGAAGCCTATTTAATGTAAGCCCTCTCCACATAAAGGGCATTACCTAAAAAAACCTCTACACGCATTATTCTCTTCTCTCAAAGTATTGTAATTCTTCTAGATAATACTTTCCCAGTGACTTTTATTCATCAATAAAGATCTCTGGCCATCACTGTTATTCCCAAGAATGGAGCAGGTCATCTAGACTGAACCACTATATATCTTGGTGTTGATTCATTATTCATTGTTTTATTATTGATTGTCTGTTTATTGCTCATTAATTGCACCCTTACATATACTCGACTGTTGATTTTGCGCAATACCGATTTGTGCATCATCACATGCCATTATGCAATCAATTTTGTAATTGCAATTCAAACAACATGCTCATCATATTGCAAGGCATATAATGAACATATTCATTTCCCACAAACATTTTCAATTCCTCAATTCCTCAATTGTCAATTATATTATAAAACATATATTAACATTTCCTACATCATTAAGCATGTTATATCACATTCAATTCACATAACACACCAACTCATCCATTGATATTTTATTAAACACCTACAAGGCACAAATGTAAACACATAGTATGCCCAAACAACACATCTTTCATGAAATTCTAAACCAAACAATTTTATCAAACCCAAATCATACAAGAATTTGTTTATATATACTCTCATATCCATTTTTCATATTCTAACTACATTAGGTGTATGCTAAAAATGAGAATTCATCTCTAATCATCCTACCCATTTCATATACAATCTTATATTGAAAATAAACTTACTTAGGAATTGAACTCTACCTTTTGTAGCATATATCCACGTAGAAGAAGCCTCAAAGACCCCAAATCAAGCTTTTAAAGCTTTATTCCCAAACTCCCATCTTTGATATTTTGAAGAAACACACGATCATTGGTATGGTTTTGTAGCTCTCGTCTCGTAGAATGACCTTAATTATTGGCTCGAAGAAATTTGACTGTTGGATTTGACAAATCAAAGGAAGAAGAAGAGAGAAACTTGGGTTTTCTCCTTTTCTTTTTCTTTCTCCCTTATCTCTCTCTCTCTCTCTCTCTCTCTCTCTCTTTATATGTATATCTAAATGGTTGACGAATATGGGAGAAAAATCATATTTTCCCCCTTTTTATACTCCTCATTTGCTTCGCCCTCATTGTGCCCTACGTCTCAGTCTTTCGGATTCGATTTTATCCCGAATCAATTAAATTTTATCCTGTCTTACGTTTATTGTATTTTTATTGAACAAAATTTAAATTATTTTTCATGTTCCTCGAATAAAATCTGATCGCATTTATTTTAGTCGCGTGATACTCGATTACCTTGTAAAATGTAAAAAATCTGACTATCTCGGAATTCGATGAAAATTGGTTAGGTAATTAGATTTTACGAGATGAATCCAATGGCAATGTTCGTTTCATTATTTGAGTTCTA